GAATACTATAAATTCTACCATTTTTTCTAAAAAAATCACACTAAATCCATCTCTCAATCTCTCAATCTTATTATCTCTTTTTAATTTTTATACAATTTATATTCATATAATAATATGAATATATATTAATATATTACATAATAACCTATAAATACATTCATTATTCATATTATCAATTATCATATATTTTTAGTTTATTACTAATATTATAATTTCGAAATTTTCGAAATTTAATATATAATTTTTTAAATAATTTTCGAAATTTTCAAAATTTTAATATATAAATTTTCGAAATTTTTTATATTTTCGAAATTTAATATATTATTTTTTTAAATATCAATATATATATATATATATATATATATATATATATATATATATATATATATATATATATATATATATATATATATATTAAGATGACGAGAGAGTGCGGTAGAAGTTCCGTGGATATGGGCGCCGTGAACCGAAGTTCGAAGAAAGGCAAAGCTAAAGCCACCTTCGACGGTTCGACCTCATGCGGTTCTCGAGGAAAACACTCCGTCTCTTCCTTTCCTACTATCCCCGATCAATTAATGGGCGACGCTTTGACAGATCAAGAATTCGACCAGTACATTTCAGGTAGAGACGGCGCAATTCTCGAAACTCTTGAAAGTTTATTCGAGGAGATTGATGAAGCAGGAATGGATGGGGACGAGGAGCCTACACCGCACAACAACGATGTCGACGAGGAGGCAGGTGAACTCGAGACCTCTCAAGGTCCGGACAAAGGTAAAAACAATTAAAATCAGATTTATTTGTTTATATTTTCCAGAAGAAACAGCACCTCCTCCGCCCCCAAATCAAAAAAAGGTTTAAAAGGAATAGTTGGTGGGCTTCTTGCAAAGAAATGGAAGCGTGCTCAGCCTTCGACGAGTTCAAGTGGTACAACAGTAAGCTCGCACAACGAACTTGCTATGTACCAAGGGGAGCCATGCGATTACGACGACGATGATGTGGAGTTTGACATCCTCGGATGGTGGAAGCGAAACGAACACATGTTCCCATGTCTCGGAATGCTAGCAAGACAAGTGTTGTCCGTCCCGGTATCAACCGTAGCAGCAGAACGAGAATTCAGTGCTGGCGGCAACATTCTAACCGACTACCGAAGTTGTCTTAACGCTGAATCTCTTGAAACACTTGTTTGCAACCAAGATTGGCTCTTGGCAAGACGTCGAGCTCAAGAGTCAGGGTACGAATTCAATTCGGAGCATTACATGAATGCAACCACAGATGGAAGTTCAAGTTCTGAGGAATAAGTTATAAACTTTTTTTTATGTTAATGTAGATATGTAATAATGTAAATATGTAATTAGTTTTTTTAGCTGAGCGATATATAAGCTCCTTCGAGGGTTTCTTTACGGTTCTTTACCTCGTCGCGTTTTTTGAACCGTCAGGATATTAAATGTAGTTGTTCTTCAGTTCGTGTATTACTCATTTTATAATATTTAAATAACAGCTACATTTTTAGATTTTTTATTTCATTCTTTCCTTTAACAATTGCAAATTTATAATTTTACACTTTAAAAATTTTAAAAAAAAGCAAAAAAAAGAATTAGGGGGTGACTGAAACCGGCTGGTCCGGTACCGGAACCACTAGTCCGGATAACAGAACCGGTACCGCCCGATCCGGTCACGGTACCGATACCAAGGGGTGGCGGTTCCGGAACGGAAATGTACAGTGTATTCCAAATGAGTACTACGGAGTAGTAATTTTTAATTAAAAAACAGTTTTCTTTATCTGTCTGCTGATGCTGAAGAAGAGCAGAGCAGTCATAAATGTAGTAGCTAAACCAGATACTGTGTTCATCTACCCAGTTTTGAATTTTTCTACTATCTCACTCATCAATTCAATTTTGTTTCCATGAGGAAATTAAATTCGCCCAAAGTTGGCATTATTGCAGTTGAGTTTTGAGCTCTCTCATTGATTATGGGGTGTGTCCTCGGGACCAGAGCTGCCGGAGAATCTAGCCGGAAAAACAAAAAACGCCGGCCGTCTTGCGGAGCTAGGGTCAGGAAGGACGGAGAGGATGTCTCCGCCGCCGAAGTCACTGTCGATGGCGGCCGCCGACGGAATCACAAGAGGCAGAAGCAACCGCCGCCGCAGCCGCCGCAGGAGCTTTGCGCGATTGGGAACTTTGCGGCCATCGACCAACAGGGGTGGCCGTTGTGGCTGGTTGACGTCGCCGGAGATGCGATTAAAGATTGGATTCCGAGGCGCGCCAATACGTTCCAGAAGCTCGATAAGGTAATCTCCGCCGAACACCCAATACACTTCGCCGGAGTTACAACTTCCCGGCCATTATTATATACTGTTCTCTATGTCGTTAATGTCAAAGAAAGGTAAAAGATTGCAATGCCTTTTTGCTAAAAAGCAAAACTTTTGATTTTGCACTATGCTCTTTGAATTGGATTGCTCTAAATTCGTTTTTTTTTGGGTTAAAAGTTGAGGAATCAACTCATATAAAATCTGGTAAATCGATTCGAGACATTGTTAGTTATGACAACAACAACAAACACAGTAAAATCCCACAAAAAGTAAGCATTGTTAGATAATAATCCATAACAAATCGTACCATGTATTACTAATTTAAACTCTTGATTAGTGAGATTTGTGGGTTTTGGGTATGGGTATAGATAGGGCAGGGGACATATAGCAATGTATATAAAGCGAGGGACTTGATAAGCGGGAAGATAGTGGCATTGAAGAAGGTTAGGTTCGACAATTTAGAGGCCGAAAGTGTGAAGTTCATGGCGAGAGAGATACTCATTCTGAGGAAGCTTGACCATCCAAATGTCATCAAGCTTCAAGGCTTGGTCACTTCCAGAATGTCCTCAAGTCTTTACCTTGTTTTCGAGTACATGGAACATGATTTGGCTGGCCTTGCTGCTTCTCATGGTCTCAAGTTCACTCACCCCCAGGTATAATATGCTTTCTTTACACTATGGTTTCTAAAAAATCTCCCTTAGCCGCCTACGATTAATCCCCACCCAAGGGCACCTAGGCGCTAGGCCTCCCTTAGCTGCCTACGATTAATCCCACCTAAGGGATGCCTTACGGTTTTTGGGACACAAGTTTACATCATTTTTGTGAAACCTTATTGATAGTTTTTTGGTTTTGGGGCAGGTGAAATGCTATATGAAACAGTTGCTTTCTGGACTTGAGCACTGCCACAACAACGGGGTCCTGCATAGAGACATAAAGGGTTCCAATTTGCTAATTGATAATGACGGGACTTTAAAGATTTCAGATTTTGGATTGGCATCGTTTTATAACCCCGAAATAAAACAACCCATGACTAGTCGGGTTGTCACCCTCTGGTATCGCCCCCCCGAGCTTCTTCTTGGAGCTACTCACTATGGTGCTGGTGTTGATCTCTGGAGTGCTGGCTGCATTTTGGCCGAGTTACTCTATGGGAAGCCCATCATGCCTGGGCGAACCGAGGTGAAAATTCCTTTGTTGCCCCCCTTGCTAATTTCAAAAAGTAATTGAAGAAAAAGTATCTAAAAATGAATTCGTTAGCTCGTATCATAAATATTAGCCATTTTAGCGACAAAAATGGCTCGCTCTGAATCTTTCCCTTGCTGCGCAGGTTGAGCAACTCCACAAGATATTTAAATTATGCGGTTCGCCGTCTGAAGAGTATTGGAAGAAATCCAAGTTACCTAACGCGACACTTTTCAGACCACAACAACCATATAAGCGGTCTACTAAAGAGACGTTCAAGGATTTTCCACCCTCTTCGTTACATCTAGTAGAGACTCTTCTTGCAATCGATCCTAACGAGCGAGGCACAGCCACTGCAGCTTTACACAGTGAGGTAAATCTCGTTACAATATAAAAAAACTATCTCGGGCCTACAATCACAAGCTTGAGCTTGGTTGAGTTGGTTCATTGACATGGTATCAGAGCGTTGCTAACCAAGAGGTCACAAATTCGAACGTCACAGTCATTTATTCATCTTATTATGTTTATAATTGTTGACACTGTTTGTATGTCTTGAACCGGGCAGTTTTTTACTAGTGAGCCATACGCGTGTGAGCCATCGAGCTTGCCAAAGTATCCTCCTAGCAAGGAAATGGATGTAAAGCTGAGGGATGAAGCACTGAGAAGGTGTTCTTTCTTTCTTTATTTCTTTCTTTCTTTCTTTCTTTCTTTCTTAAACAATTTAGAAGCTGTATCTATAGGTCCAAATCCCATATTATATTCTTCTATACCATTTTTAAAAACAGGTTGAAAGGTGCAAATGGGAAAGGCCATGCGGCGGATGGAGCCAGAAAGGCGCGAGTTAGAAACCGGATTAGCCGGGCAATTCCAGCTCCCGAGGCTAATGCAGAGCTTCAAGCCAATTTAGATGTAAGTTTGGCGTCTTCTTTTTCTCTCTTTCTATTGTATGTTTTTCAAAAAAAAAGTTTTGTTATTTAAAGAAAAAAATATATGGTACCACTACGCTTGCATACTGTTGAGATACAATAATTTATACAATCAAACACTCACTAAGGGCCTGTTTGGTTAGCGCATGAGATACGGGTTCTGAATTCTGATATCTTACGCTGTCACAATATTTTTAACTCTTTTGTGGATGTTCGGTGAAGCAAAAACAATGTTTGGATTCCATATCTCTAGGGATATCACATCCCTCCCAAATGTGGGTGTTTTGATTTTTTCTAAATTTAGAAGATATAAATCTGAGTCTTAGCTATCTCCCTATAGATAGCAATTGGTGACGTAAACGGTGCGGGCTCGGATCCTGGATGCGACTCTTTGGATTCGGCCCTTTGTATTCAAAATTAACCGTGACAAAAGTCTTGCTTGTCCTTAGCCAGTTGAGAAACATCTCACGATTTACCTCTTCCACCAACCCCATTGCAAGGGTGTGTGGGACCCTCGGGTGGGGGGGGGGGGGGTC